AAGGATGGATAGATATTTTCTGGATCCCCATTACATTGATACTGCTGGCTTTATATAATAGCCAAATACATTCCCCTATGCTCAGTCGTCATAACAGATTTGCTGATTACAAGGAAGTTTGTTATGCTAAGATTCTTATTCTAGAACTTTGCTGGACAGCTCAGCTAGCCGTTTTACACAACCTTTCCTTCATTTCCTGGCATCACGCGCTCTGCATGCTTGCTCATATTTTGGCTCACATCAGATGACTCCACGGTAGAATTTGGGAAGATATTTGTTGGTGTTGGATGAACAGAGAAGCGAAGAAGTCTTCGTCGGCTGCCGGTTTTGTTTTCCTTGAATTTGTTGATTACAGAGGAAAGAGGAGAGTTATGAAATATTAAAGACAGGTAGTTTTTGTTTTAATTGATTTTTCTTTGACTAGAGCGGTTTTCACTCTTAATACAATATTTATAAAAATGAAACTGACGGTTCTTGTTTTAGTGAAATGTTGTGTCACATCACAAATTTTTCTTATTTTTTATATATATATTTTTTCGAGGAAACAGTACAAGTTTTTTTTTTAAAAATATTACATATTATATTTTTGACAAGGATTATTAGTAAAACTTATTTTCAAAAAATCTATCTCTGTGAAGAGCACATCAGTGACTATAATTATTTTTCTAAGAATTTTTTAATAAAATATCAAAAAAAAAATTAAAAAATCAAATAGGCCACAGTGAATTGTCTAATCATAGGTATAAGTAAGGGGGATGTAGGCAAAGGATGTAATGATGGCGCTATTTTAATAAAAGTTTATACTAATATACTTACTGATTTTATTAAAACATGTCCGATACGAATATGTCAATATCTTATATATGTTTTATAATTTGTGCAATATTTCAAAATTAGCAGTCCTAAAAGTTTTGATTTTTACTTTTTTTTTTTTGTTTGTTTGTTCGGTCGTTCGTAAGATACTTTTGCATTTGTTTTACATTTTTTGTTATCAAGTTTTTTAATTGTATCGTAAAATGTTGTTAGTTCCTATGTTATAATAACATTGTTTTGGATTTAGGGTTTATGATTAGGGTTATGGTCACGAGTTAGGTTGTTATTTTTGTCTAAAATCACAAAAATACAGTACTTTCACTTATTTCAAGAGTAATAAGTTCATATAAGTTTAGTTCAAGAAAAATAAGTTTTGATAAGGGCTATCCAAGTACAAATTATAACTAAAATAAGTTTTCATAAGATCTAATAAGTTAAGATAAGTGAAAATCAGGTGAATAGAACACAACCTAAACCGTTTGTAATTGATTTAGAGATTTGTATGACTTTGGTATATCATAGTAGTTCTACTAAGTTGCTTATACTTAATAAGTATTTATGAACGTGTAATTGTATACAATCACAAACATCGTTTTTCATGTAATACATCAAATTGTTTGATTCTATTGGATGTAAATATTTATATAAATATCTATTTGTTTAATTTAATTTGTAACATTAACTTACATAGGAGCGACTGAGTACGATTAGGAGAATCGTTGTACAAATTACACTAATAATCCTTGACATTGTTTGTATTTCATGTCAATAGGACATATAAAAATCAGTTTGCATAATTCATAAAATTAATTTACAAAGGACATATCACAATTTTTTTTAAAAATTACGAGCTAGGAAACACACGCTCATTGCGTGTATCTTATATAATTTCTATATACGGCTCAATTATCCTCTTGTTCCTGAAATATTATCTATCTTATTCTAAAGAAATTAAAATGTGAAAGAGGTAAATTGGAAAAATATAATTTATCACTCAAAACCACTTTCACTTTATATATTACTATAGATACAGATAAACACACATAATATAAATTAAATAGAAAACCAAAAGAAAAATCCATGAAATTATTTAAAAAAAGATTTATGATATTACAAAATAAAATTTATTAACTGTACCATTATCTCGTCTATCTATATACTCACGTCTTTCTAGACTTATAGTGAGTTGTCTAATCAATGTCTTTTGACATGTACTCATGAAGTCACTTACTTTGGAGATCAACAAAAAATGTTCTTTTTATTGGGTTTCCGATTCTAAAAATACCATTGTGATGCTTGGAAATTTTTCATTCCTGTAGAATACACCATCATTATACTTGTATTATATGTGACTCCATATTATTAGTAGTTTTATATTAGGGTTTCCTAATGGGTTTCCTTTTTCTACTTTATTACCTTATTTATTACAAAAGATATTATTATTGTATAAAGTACATTAGTTTTAGGAAAAATTAACATAAATAATCCAATTATTAACCACCTTCTCATTTTAATCTGAACAATACTTTAACTCGAGATAATCCTAACTATTAACTTACCCTTCTCACATTAGTCTCCATGTTTGTATAACCTATTAAATCGGTTAAACATGATAGTCGCTTTAAGATTGGTTTGCTTTTTTTTTTTTTTTTCCTTCTCACATTAGTCTCCATGTTTGTATAACCTTAGTATCACTTTTACACACTTCATTCACATATTCATGGCCATATTCTCTTTCCCTTAGGAACCCCTTATCATGAAAGCTTGTTCCCACACCACGCATGCTTCACGACAGCATCTAGCAAAGTCATCATCATTCGATAGCATTATCACAAATGTACTTAGCTTCCTGACCTTGGTACATTTATCAAGATTCATGCAAGACGTGCTTAGCTCCCTGACTTAAGTAACATTCACTATTACATACATGAATTATTTCATGCATTACTCAACAATCACCATTGTATACGTGTTAGCTTCCAGACCTAAGAGACGTTCAAGATTGTTTTTTCATACACTATGTACGATGCTTAGCTCCCTGACCTAAGCAACATACAGCGAAAATAAACTACGATTATACTATGCTTAGCTTCATGACCTAAGTTCATTAATTGATCGTGTCACATGATGTAATTGTCCTTAGCCTCCTGGCTTATGAACATTCATCATGCATACATTATTTTCAAAGACGAGCAATTCAATTTGATAAGAAGAAAACCCATGCGGTTCATTTCGCTTTGCCCATCGAGTCCTTTTTTTCATGTCTTTTCTTTTGGGGAAGTTCAAAAACTTTTTCAAAATTTTCTTAGCGAGGAAGTACAAAACTTCTTCTATTTTTCATCTTTTTTTTTCTTTTGGGGAAGTTCAAAAACTTTTTCAAAACTTTTATCGAGGGAAGTTCGAAAACTCTTACTTCATTTTTCGCGTCTTTCTTTTTCGAGAGAAAGTCGGTACCCTCCACTCATGACAAAAAATGATGGAAATTATTTGCATTTTTAGTTGTTTGCGTTTGCGCACACACTCAAACTATACATATACACACACAGTCACATGTCATACACATGTCATGTCGTGTCAAGTCAAGCTTGGTCAAGTCAATTGCAGTTCATACGAGTCCTTTGTCAAATCCCGTTTTGCAGGTCTCAGGTACAGCCCACGTTCGGAGACAATCGAACCATCAACAGCCCACGTTCGGGGACAATCGAACCATCAACAGCCCACGTTCGGGGACAATCGAACCATCAACAGCCCACGTTCGGGGACAATCGAACCATCAACATCCCACGTTCGGGGACAATCGAACCATCAACAACCTACGTTCGGGAACAGTCGAACTATCTACAGCCCACGTTCGGGGACAATTAAACCATCCACAACCCACGTTCGAGGACAATCGAACCATCTATAACCCACGTTTGGAGACAATCGAACCATAAACATCTACAGACCACGTTCGGGGACAAACGAACCATCATCATTCATCAAACACTCAGTGTTCATCCCGAGGCCGCAAAAGATCGTCTTACAGTAGGCTGCTCGAGGCGTAGGAGTCTACGACATGTTTCCTGAGGCGCAGAAGCTTGTCACCTTTTATTCGTTGGATCTCTCGAGGCATATCGGTTCACGATAGAATTCTCAAGGCGCGAAAGACTCTCATCCAATAGATTTCTCGAGGCGCAGAAAACTACCAAACATATTTGCTGCTGGCCATTGGTGGAGATACGCATTCCATCCTTTTACTCTTTTATCTGTAGAACTAACGTTTTTTCTGCAAGTATTGGCGTATACAGAGTGATTTAGGATCGCAGAACGTCTTAAATCATTCTTCGTCCCAATCTACTACTTTGACTATTGTTTTCGAAACTTACGTTTCTGCAAACTCAGTCAAAGTGGGGGCTTTTATAGACACCTAAAAATGTCTCCCCAAAACCAAACCCGATGATGAACAACCTTTCATCGTAATTATTGGTCGGGTCAAGTATTTAATCTTGGGAGTGCTTAAAACCCTTATTCAATCAAACATATTCAATCTACAAATCAATCCAAGCATTTATTCAAACTCAATCCAACTCACATTTCAGCCCAAACCCTTTTTAATTCATTTCGTTGGTTTTTTAATTAAGCCCGATTAATAAATAATAAAACCCTAAGCCTGAAATAAGTCAAGAATAGCTGAAATGGCGCCTAATTATCACGTACTTAAAAAAAAGATAAAATGAATGTAGACTGAATTTAAAAAAGATGTTTATGCCACATTAGTACCTCCAAGTCTCCAATCCACAACCCCTAACATGGTCTAAAGCGTTAAAATTAAAAAAAAAATTATTAAAAACTTGCTGCAGCCAGGATTCGAACCTGAATCTTCAACATAAGATTTAGCCAATGTGCTACTGCAGCATTTAAAATATCTTCTTACAAACAAAATATTTTATATCATATTAATATAAGAAGCGATGAAATAAAGCAAAAATTAAAAAAATTTGCTGCAGCCAGGGTTCGAACCTGGATCTTTATTCATAAGATTTAGCTAGTGTGCTACTGCAGCTTTTAGTAATCCATATTTACAATCAAATATATTTATAGCAATCAAATTAACACAAAGGAAGGGATTTCATGTTTTCATGAGTTGTTAAACATTTCCAGAAAATTGATTTCAAGACTTTCTCGCTCTCACTCAGGTAAATCAATGTTTCTCTTAATTTCATTCAAATTCACATCAATTTGTTCAATTTTTACAAGTTTTTCCCCAGATTATGGGGTACAGTAGCCTTGAATTTAAGCTGAATTTAATGTAATGGTAATTCAATTAGTGAAATTCATGTTAAAATTCTCAAATTCTGTTTCATTTAGTTCAAATTCAACAATAAGAACAATTTCTTCAGTGCAATATGTAGCATCTAGGGCAAGAGACCCAACATTTGAGAAGTATATGGATCATTACAAGAAGCTTGTTAAAGTAATTGCTATTCAAGACTTAATCTTGGCAAACCCTAACAAAAACCCACCTTCAGTTTCAGTTGATTTCTTGTCTATGTTGTCTCAAAGACTTCACCTTAACCGGGGTGCACCGTCTTTTCTTCGTCGGTACCCTCATTTTTTTGAGATTTTCTATGATCATACTAAGTCTATGCCTTATTGTAAATTGACTGATAAAGTGGTTGAGATTTCTCGGTTGGAGGCTGGTGCAATTAATGAGTCTTTGTCGTTGGTTGTGAAACGATTGGTTCGAGTGTTGTTGATGTCGGTGTCTAGGTCAGTGCCGTTGAGGGCGGTTTTTAAAGTGTGGAGGGAGTTGGGTCTTCCTGATGATTTTGAGCAGTCTGTGATTGCAAGGAATCCTCAGTTGTTCTTGCTTTGTGATGGGAATGAGCCTAATACCCATGTTTTGAAGCTTGTTGGTAGTTACCCTAGTGATCATTTTACTGCTGCGGTGGAGGATTGGCGGGTTTTGGAGTGTTGTAAGGAGGATTCGAAGGTTGCTAGGACGGAGTTGCAATATAGTTTTAAGCAAGGGTTTCCACCTGGAATGAAGTTGAAGAAGACTTTTAGGACAAAGGTTCGGGAATGGCAGAAGTTGCCGTATGTTGGGCCGTATGAGGTTGTAGGAGAGAAGAAGAGAGCAAAGATTGGTTTAAAGGGTTTGGAGAAACGAGCGGTTGCCATTTTTCATGAATTCATGAGTTTGACTATTGAGAGGATGTTGGAGGTGGAGAAGATTAGTCATTTTAGGAAGTGGTTTGGGATTGATTTGAATATCAGGGAGTTATTTTTGGATCACCCTGGGATATTTTATTTGTCTAACAAAGGGAAGATGCATACAGTTTTCTTGAGAGAAGCTTATGAAAGGGGACGATTGATCAACCCAAATCCTGTTTATGAGGCCAGGATGAAGCTTCTTTATCTTATTATGATGGAATGCCGTGGAATGTTAACTATGACTCAAGAGTCAGTCAATGAGAAACATGATGTGCAAGACAAAGACGTTAGACAGATTTCTGTCCCTTCAGTTTTAGACAATACTGACAGAGATCAATGATATCAGAGCTATGATGGTGGGTACATGCTCATCTGTTTCCATCTTTCTGATCATTCTAATCCAAAACAACTATTGTTGATTAAAATTTGATCTCAATCTGATAAACTTTTTACTGTCTCTTTTTGTTAAACTGCTTGACTGATATTGGTATGGAGAGATCACCTTATCTATAGCAGATTACATTTCACTTTGCAGCGTTTCATCAAAAACCATATTGTTTCACTTTGTAACTATTCCAGCTTTCTACCTTCTGAGATTTAATGCAATCTGTGATGCATATTATAGCTTTGTGAGTTTATGATTCATTTATTACGGCATCAATTTCACATCCTTATCAGATGTATATTTATTTTGAGGTATTAATATATCATCATTTCAAATTGGTTACTTAAGTAATGTCTGCACAATTTTTTTAGTATATTACTTAGAGACATGTATGATTGATTTTGGAACGAATGTAGAAGGATGATTAGAACTGGTTACTTAATACTCTAGAAGAGTATACGTGATCACTTATTTATCTAGTAATACAAGTATATATTTTCCAAATCAGAGCATGTATATCCTATTTTTGAAATGCTGCTTTTTCAGTGGGATTTTTTCGTTAATAGTTGTATGAATTCAGGCAAATGAAATTTTGAGGGATATATAAGTCGGATCATTTCCACCCTAAATTTGGGGACGGGGGAAATTTTGGAGGGACTGTTAGATTGTATATTCCCTCATAAAGTTGAAGGGAACTTGAACTGTATGGTTTTGTTCTGTGGTAAATGCTTTGTATGTTTAGGAAATACTTGAATTCAAGTACCATTTGTGTTACTTTTTATACTGTTTTGTTTAACTGTTGATGCATGCTGCTGCAGATCAAAATGTTGGATTACTGAAAACCAAAGGTTGGCAATGAAGCCTATTCAAGTTTTTGCTACAGCTCCTAGTGAAAATTCCATCACTTGGGAGTTTCAGAGAGTGATTTGCAGAGGAGCTTTTGAAGAGTAGAATTCAATAGTTGTGGCCCAACAATCCAGAAGTATATCAAGACTTGCAGAAATTGGATACTGACCTATCACACCTCTTGCGCTTATATATGACAATGTTGATAGGTGAGCAGATGAATGATCGTGTTTGTGAATTTGTACCTGCAGTTTGTTTCATGTTCTAGTGTTGATTGTCAGCTGCATAAAGATACAATGTGATCCATTTTACTCTATGTAGATTTTATCTGTCTCGCTTTGTTCTTTCAGAATTGATCTTGTCTTCTACATGTTTCATTTTGATCATGGTTTACCATAGATAGTTCACGAATTTCTTAGCATTTAGCTGCATATTGCTATTAGCTTATCTGCTTCACAAACTTAGGTTTGATGCTGATCATTTTTCAGGAAAAGCAGTCAATAAAATACGGTGCTGTGTCATCATTTTGTTACCTGTACTTCTGGGAACGGATTTTTAGAGATTTTAACATTTGGGATCTGAACTTTAAAGCTTATCATTTGAGACCTAAAGTTGGATGTATGCCTTTTCTTTTCTCTCTCTTTTTTTTAATCTTTCCTTTTCCCAATGGTTAGATTGATGGTGAGGAGAGAGATCGTTGTAGGAGGAAAGAGTGAGAGAATGTTTAGCTGAGAGAAGTCAGAGAAGAGGTTTTGATTGGTAAAATCCGGTCAGATTGCAAATAAAGTCACATTAGTATTTATGGAATACTTCTTGCTGAAATATCTACTCTTTAGTCTCAATCTCTCAAATTACTTGCTCCGCATGCAGTTGGCAGAGTTGGTATTATTCAATGAGTGAAAAAATAGAGAGAAAAAGGTAGAGAGGGAAGGGCCTAACTTCACTGATATTTTAGAGGAAAAGTTGACCATATAAGGATGGGGCAAGTATTCGAGTTACCTGAAAAGGAAAATGGGGTGAGTATTTTTTGTAAAAAGCTCTGAATACCAATTGCCTTTGCTGAAATTCTCTGCATGTATAATGCCTTTATGTTTAATAAATACGAAGTATGATTTGGTTTTTGTTTTCTTATTTATGATGGTTCAAATATTAATGTTCAGTCCCTAGTTTCACTGATTTGGGATTGGTTGCAGTATTTGGATATGACAAGTAACTGAAGTTTTATTACGATCTCGAAGAATTTAAAATTTTACCCAGTGCAGCATCTGGTGAAATTCTTTCTTTCTGGAGATTTTGGTCTAAATAAATCCCCAAATGATTGAGCTTTTTAACTTTGCACTATTTTTTGTTATTTAAGCTACATTAGTAAATATGTTTAGTGTTGATCCAATTTCCCCTGTTCTTTAAGTGCAGGAGCCAACTTTGTCTGTTACTCCTGTGAAAGTGTAAAGTAGTTGGTGTGGTTTGTGAGAGTGAGAAGCCAATCATTTCTCTGCCCAGGAATTAATCCTGCGTCTAGTCAGTGGTTTCTCGTAGATATTCCTGCCATTGCCATTGCATCAGTTCTTCCTCAATACAGTCTACAAGACAAGGACATCAATGAATGAGTTAATCCATATTGTGATCCACAGGATGGTAGTGCTTTGATTCGTAGCTCAATCATGCTCCAAGGCTATCTAAATTACACATTGATTTGGTATGTGTTCTCCATTTGGACACTTTGTTATGCTTACACTTACACCTTTATTATCTACAGTTGTTTGAATCACCTCAAGGCTATATGTATTTGGCTTTTTTTTAATCTACTACAGTGTACCGTGCTAATGCACAAGTTATAGAACATATTAGAAGTTTTTTTTTTTTAATCTCCAACGTAAGTTACTGTGTGGGAGTTATTGGAAGGATTGCACTTACATTCACCATTAAGATTTTGAGAGATTTGGTGAAAAGCATACTCTATTACTCCATAATATATAAGAGTAGAATGCATAACAAACTTGCAAAGATAACAACATTGGAAGTTATGGGAAATTATTGGATTAACTGATAAAGAGTGCACAAAAATCAGAGCTTCAATGTTGCACCTCGACACTCGAGATCAATCACCCCTAGAGATGTGCCATCTCCTGAAGAACACTTTTAATTCCATGATCAACATTCTAAAACATCTTAATACTACAAACCTCAACCTTCATTTTTCCATATCAGTTCACTTTCTCAACTTATTTCAGATGTTACACCCCTCAAGTTCCTTTATCAACAGTGCAAATAATACCACATAATTCCTCAAATTATCATATTTACATCTTATACAATAAACATTTCACTGACATTTTATTGCCAATTCATGAGATCACAGTTAACGCTAAAACCTTAAGCATTGAACCTAGGAAGTCAGCTAGACTTCACAATCCACCAGCTTTATGATTTGAAACAAGCAAGTAGACAATGGTTTGCCAAATTAATTTAAGGCTTAGAGATGTGAGACTATGATCCTAGGATGACAATTCCTTACTTGAAAAGGGAATATCACCTTCAATGCAGTATATGTAGATTATGTAGTTCTAAGAGGACTATAGCTGAAATTCAGAATCTCAAGGCTCATCTGCAAAATGCATTCAACATTGAAGCCTTGGATAGTTGGGATACTTCAACAGTTAAACTATCTTCTAGGTATCGAGTTTAATTATGTGGTAGATTGGTACGGACTATACACTTAGGGTAAGTTTACTAAGAAAATTCTTAAAGATAATGGAATCAATATTTTAAACCAATAGCTACACCTTTACCTTAGAGCAAGTTATATAGGAACCTAGTTTGGAAGTTGAATTTCCTCAATTTTATTGGCTTAGGGCTTGTTTAGTTCACCTTATTTTTGCTTATCTGAACTTATCTTATCTGGTCTGGTTTAATCTGATATGATCTTGTCTGGTTGTCAGATTTGACCAAACATTGACCTTAAGTGTACGATAATCTATAAGGAAAAAATATATCAAGTGGGGTCTTGTTAGATTCGAAATAATGTGTATTTTATTGATATGCAATTTTCATAATTTTTTTCATTACGAAATTAAAGGTATTTAGAGATAAAAAATTGTACATAAAACGATGATCTGATCTGAACTTATTTTTTCTGAAATAAGTAAAAATACGTTGAACTAAACAAGGCCTTAATCTTGCTTATAGGTTTCATATATACCCTGAAGTCAGTATATGCATCAACCAAGGAAACCACATTATAACAATTTAGTGCATGTTCTCAATAATGTAGCAACAGCAGCATGAGAAGGCATCGACTGATGGCAACTGATCAACTCAGAGTATTAGCCTTCTCAAGTAAGTCCTGATAGAAATCATCTCCTAATTCCAAATTCTTCTTGGCTTGGATCAGCTGAAATCAAAGAAGTAGAGCACGATTTCCTTGTTTTTTTAGAAGTCGAGTGCAGAGCAATGGCGGTTGTAGCATATTTGAACAATTGAACTTACATAGGTGGTGCATTTACTTGAAGAGATAGGGCTCGCAAATCTCTAGCCAAGATTTCTGTGTTCAATACCTTAAATTATAAATACATAGATAATGACTGTCATTTTACACGAGACAAGGTACTTGAAAGACACTTATCTACCTATAGGTTCTCAGCTGGCTGATGTATAACAAAGGTACTTCCATCACCTCAGTTCAATGTGCTTAAGTCCAAGGTAGGCATTCGACACAAGCCTTAGCTTTATGCTTTTGTTGGACTATGCAATCAGCCTAAGAATGCAATAAGTCCGAGTCGGCAAGTCCAATAAGATTGCTTGTTGATGATCTAGTGATATTCTGTGGAATAGCAACCAGGGGATCATAAAGTCATCGGCGGGAGTTTAGTTTGATGGGTTTATTATTTCTGATGCAATGTCAACACAGTTTGTTAGGTGATTGTTATGTTATTTATTAATTAGGCTTATATAGATTTATATACTCTGAGTTGTAGTCTCACTCAAGAATTTATTAAATCTGTTTCATTACATGGCACCTAAACTGTAATCATTGAAATGTCTCACTCTAGAATTTTTTCAATCTGTTTAATTCCATGGCATCAGAACTGTAATGACTGAAATCTCTCTCCGATTACAGTAATGGAGTTTAGTATACTTGTCTGATCTTTCTCGTCAAGTAGTTGATTGGTATTAACATGTAAATACATGAAAAGATGATTTTCCATGAAACTGAATATACGTACATTTATTTGATTATCACTAACACGTAAAGGTGGAGGAAGTCGATCGCTAGTGTAGCCACTAACACAAAAGGTTTGACAATTTCTAAGAAGTAAATTTTCATGAGAATTGCAACTTGTTTCAAGGGAATTACTTCTCACATCTAACCAAATGAGCACTTAAAACTATTTTATTGTACTATATTAACATTATGCCTACATTTTTTTTTTTTGAGGACAACATTATGCCTACATCTGAAATCCCTTGGTGAGGATTATTTTTCTAACGTTTGTTTTTATAAAATACTCTGTATGAATAAATTAAAACAACAAATGATAAAAAGAGAAATAAACTAGGCTTAACCGTTTAACTTAAAGCTTACATAGGTAGTTGAGAGCAGAAGTGTTTTTTGCTTCGTTCACGTGGAGGTAGAAATAGTATAATAGCAATAAAAGATGTTTAAAATTAATACAATAATTAACTGTGTCAATTATTTTAAGACGGAGTGAATAAACAGTAAAAACTCGTGTTAGCACCCCGATTACATACTACGAAGTACATAATATAGTTAGACCTCTAAGGCTCTTTGTAAAAACTAAAAAAACCGAACCCATTTTAGCAGCACAACTTAACGAGAATCAAAGACTTGCATTATTAATTCATGAATTAAAACAAATTTGAAATAATAAAATAATGCTAGTAAATCAAAAGTCATAAAGTAGTCACTCCTCCCAAAATGAAGCACAGAACTAAACCAAAATCAGAAAACAGCAACCTTATAAATGATGCTACTATAATGCTATGTCACTACTCCCAAAATTCTCTTTCATTATAATAACCTCAATTAAATTAAGTTGTTGGCATAACAAATCACATTTATTAGCCCCTCTTTTTTTTCTTTTTTAATTTTGAGAGGTCACTTATTAGTCACTTAGATTCACCAAACCAAATTATTAACACCCCCATTAATTATTAAATCACCAAAAATAACACTTATTCTATATTAAAAAAAAAATCAAATATTTTTTTAATTAAACCGAACAAAATAAATTATTATTATTATTTTTGAAATAAATAATAATTATTATTATTATCAATAATAATAATATTTTTTCTTCAAAAAAAATAATAACAATGATTCTTTTTTTTTTTTTAATAACTTATTTTAAGAGTATAAAAATAAAATACAAATAATAACAACAATTCTTCCAATTTATTTTTTAGTATTAAAAATTATTTATAAAAAAATAAAATAAAATTTGAAGTAGTCTCTCAAACGTATAGCCGGCCTTTCTCTTTCTCTTTCTCTTTCTGTTTCTCTCTCCTAAATTTCTTTCATTCTTACACTTTCCCATTTTCTTCCTGTGTTGTCTTCTCTGTCTCTTGATTCTCCTTCTTTCTTCAAACCAAAAACAACACACTACTTCCTTCTTCTTCATCATCATCCCAACAAAAATCCAACCAATTTCTCCAAAAATCCCACCTCAAAAACCAACCATTTTTAGCTCACTAATTAACTCACAAAACAAAACAAAATTCAAAATCAAATAATCAAAGAATGCTTAAATCTCCGACTACCCATTACTTGATATCATCATGACAACAGCACAGCAACAACAACCGTTGTCTAAAACAGCAAAACTTTCTCCGGTGCACAAAATGCAGGACACCGTTAAGCTGAAAACACTCAGAAGATCTTACAGTTTATGCTCACGCGCTTCAGCAACAACAAAGTATTCCGAATCGACGCAGTCTTCGGACGAAGAAGCGGAGGAGGAGGAGGAAGAGGAAGAAGAGGAAGAGATTTCATCTTCAGAAGAAGAGAAACCACCCCAGATTGTAATACCGACGGCCGAGATGAGAAACCGGTCTCCGGCGAGTCTCCGGCGAGTGTCGCCGGAGTTGGAGGTGCCGGAGGTGGTGGAGAGGAATTTGGCAAATGGGGATTATTACACGGGCACATTTGTGGGGAATGTACCACATGGAAACGGCAAGTATTTGTGGTCAGATGGGTGTATGTACGAGGGAGAATGGCGGCGAGGGAAGGCGACGGGGCAGGGGAGGTTTTCGTGGCCGTCGGGTGCGACGTATGAGGGGGAATTCAAATCCGGGAGAATGGAGGGGTTAGGGACGTTTACAGGGACGGAAGGGGATACATATAGAGGAATGTGGGTGTGTGATAAGAAGAGTGGTAAAGGGGAGAAGTTGTATGCTAATGGGGATTTGTATGAGGGTGAATGGAAGGAGAATGTGCAAAATGGTGAAGGAAGGTATGTTTGGAGTAATGGGAATGTTTATGTTGGGGAGTGGAGGAATGGGGTGATCTTTGGGAAGGGGGTATTGATTTGGGCCAATGGGAATAGGTATCAAGGGCATTGGGAGAATGGTGTTCCGAAAGGGGCTGGAGTTTTTACCCGCCCTGATGGGAGTACCTATGCTGGGAATTGGGGGAATGGGAGTGGGACTAATCATGATGGTTTCGTTACGACGAATGCCAAGAGGGAGGATGGGGGGAGGATGAGTGTTTCTGATAGAGGGGTGAATTTTCCTAGGATATGTATATGGGAAGCGGATGAGGATGCTGGGGATATTACTTGTGATATTATTGATAATTCTGAGGCTTCTAAGTTGTATAGGGTTGCTAGTAATTGTGCTAGGAATAGTCCTAAGGGTGCTTTGAGTAGGAGTCAAAGTCCTAGGGATATGAATGTTGTTGTATGTAATCATAATAATCCAAATGTTGGTTCAACGCCTTCGACTCCGTATTGGTATGGTGGTGGATGTGATGAGATTAAGAAGCCTGGACAACCGATTTCGAAAGGTCATAAGAATTATGAGCTTATGCTTAATTTGCAGTTAGGTGTCAGGTAATAACATTATCAGCATTGGTTTTTTTTCTGGTAATGTGGTTGTTTTGTTGGTTTGTGATTGTTATATTTTGAGTTTGATTAGCATGAATGCATTGTTTTTAGGTAATTATGCTGATTTTGTATGGTGGGTTGCATTTTAAATTTGATAAATGTACAGGCATTCTGTTGGGAAGCATGCCTCGAAAACTCGGGATCTTAAGGGTTCTGATTTTGAGCCTAAGGAGAAATTTTGGACTAGGTTCCCTCCTGAAGGATCAAAGCATACACCACCACATCAATCAGCTGATTTCAGATGGAAAGATTATTGTCCCATGGTGTTCAGGTGAATGAATTGTACTAGTTTGATGTCATGACCGAACTTCAGTTTGCTTGTGTAATCTGCTGACTTTGTTCATTGTTGCCATATGTGCTGATATGGATGTCAAGACATTTGAGAGAACTATTTGGGATTGATCCAGCTGAGTATATGTTAGCTATTTGTGGAAGTGACGCGTTGAGAGAGTTTTCGTCCCCTGGAAAGAGTGGAAGTTGCTTCTATCTAACTCAAGATGATCGGTATATGATTAAAACTGTCAAGAAGGCTGAGGTTAAGGTCAGTTTGCACTTGTCTATTAGGTTTAGTTATTAAGACATTCATTCATGTAGTAGATTAAAAAAGAGCGAATACTACAACTCATAATGGTTGATTAATATACTAGAATGAGAGAGTCATCATAATATTTCTGAAAATGGATTCTCATAATTGGTTATTTCGGGAATTTATGTCAGGTACTCATCAAAATGCTGCCTAAGTATTATGACCATGTTGCCAAATACAAGAATACGTTGGTGACAAAGTTCTTTGGTGTGCATTGTGTCAAACTCAAAGCAGTGGGTGGTCAAAAGGTACTATCTTGCCCTTAATCGAGTAAACTTACAAATTTGTTGGTGTGCTGAAAAACTAATTGTTACTCTTTTTTGGATGGCCAATAGACTCGCTTCATTGTTATGGGAAATTTGTTTCACTCTGAGTACCGGATTCATAAAAGATTTGATCTAAAAGGTTCTTCTCATGGTCGGTCAATTGACAAGCCTGAAGGTGAAATTGATGAGACTACCACCCTTAAGGACCTTGACCTAAAATTTGTGTTTCGCTTGCAGCAATCTTGGTTCCAAGAGCTCATGAGGTCAGCTTCATTCAAAATTTGTTTCAACTGTTCAAAACTACAGTTTCATTCAGTTTTGCATTTATCTGATGGTTTACATTTTAAAAAAGCAGTCAGGTTGATAGAGATTGCGAATTCTTAGAGGCAGAGAAAATCATGGATTATAGTCTGTTGATCGGTCTTCATTTCCGCGAGGATTGTTCCAGTAATGAGCAAGGACTGTCACCTACTGGTATACTCTTGCCATTCTTACATATTTTTGTATTTTCATTTCTAATACTATTACTTCCAATATTTCTCTTTGGGTTGAATTCACATAAGTAGCCTCTCTGAACTAGTGATATTTACTGAACTGTTTCTTTGGCTCTTTCCAGGCAGAGGGGGTACAAATCATGATAAAAGTTCGCCTCTAGGGTACGAGATATTTATGCAGGACTCAAACTGCATAATGGAGGGAACGTAAGTCTTCTTACCATTGTTTTTTCATTGTCCATTCAGTGCAAATATTGCAACCAGAATATCAATTTCCTTAAATCTGATTTGCTACGATTGTAAGATATATTGGGATGGGAAATCATCCAATCCCGCATATTTCTTAAGTGGTGGCAGTGATTAAACATTATGGTGTAAGTGTATAATTAGTGTACTGGTCCAACATTCCTACCCTTGATTTGTCTACATTTCTGCCCTCAGTCGTCGACATTGCATTTACTGCTGTTTATGCTGTTCTGTAAGACAGACCATTGGAATGTCTCTGTTTAATCTCATTTATTTTTAGCATTGATAGATTTTGGTCTCCTGACGTAGTAGTTTTCCCTTAAGCCTTGAATGAATTGTCTTAAAATGAAAGGAACTTGTTTGTTTGTCATTTTCTTTGTTTATATATATGACCTGTTGGATATGGTCCAATAAATTGAACTGTCAAATTTTTTTTGGAATGGT